AAATATCTGATATGCAGATATGGCTTACTCTATAATATTGTTATCAACTGCATTATAGATTAAACTTATACTGTATTTCTGATCAGATGCCAGACACGATACAAGGCATGTATTTATATGTATCGGAAGTCTGGTGTTGATGTTTTGGAGCAGTCTTTTGTTGGTAACTCAGGGCCTTGTTGGACAGACGATGATGATGATGGAGGCCCTGGCTCGTGGGGTGTCGTGTGTACGTGTACAATGACGGGAACTGTGAAGGTATTTATACATTATGTAAAATTAACGACATGTTATCATAAGAAATATTTCTTTTACAATTTTTGATACGTAAGGCGAAAAACATGTCGGGATCGTGTATGATTTATCATTTCATTTCCGTGATGTTTCATTGTGTTTTTTATTACAGGTTCGTTGGCAGAGTAAAAAAATTGGGAGGTACAGATATGGGGACGAAGTGGTACTGATGGAGACCGTGTAAGCGCCAATTTGTTATGCCTTGTAGAATTACAATATTTACTTATGTATTTATTCCAATGCAACAGACCCAAGGGCCCTTATTGTGATTGCGCTTAAGAAAATTCAAACATAACTTTATTTGATCACATATACATTGTCAAGTAATTCTAAATATGATGCTGTCTTGTCTTTAGATAACAAGTAATGTATTGACATATCATCTTATACATCCATCAACATTGAAAACCAATGATTAGAGGTACATATCAGCCCCTTACCCCATTCCTACGCCGAAACACTAGGGGTAGCCTTCCACCAAGCTGTGTTAAAAGTTTAACTTACCTTATTTATGGTATTTACATGAGCCGGCTGATTCGATGTGAAGGGCTTGTTCCCAGTAGCTGACAGATAAACATAGGGTTTAGAGACTATTGGGAAGTACTCGATCGTTGCCTTAACCTCATTCGGGATTATCGCCTGAACGACACACTAGAGAATAATACTTTTCGATAGATATATGGAAATAACATGTGTTCGATGCTCAATATTATGCCTGGTGGTTTTGTTGTTTGTTAAAAATATAAACTTTACTTATTTAATAAACAATTTAAAACAATTTACTCTATATTGTTGTTGGATGGAAGATGGGGAAGTCGAACCCGGATTACTCGGGGAAATACATTTTCACATCCGAATGGGGAATATGACGTCGACCCTCCAAGTAAAATGCGACTGCCTTACCTTTGCGCCTCTTGGTGTTATTGACCTTGTTCCATTAACCAAGGTCTACAAGGCACATTGCTGGTGTCTTCGATGAAGCTGAATACGTGTACCATTTTAAAACATCTGGTCTTATTCTACTTGCACTGTTTCAATGGTATCCGTGTGAATCTTTCTTTTGTTTAAACTTGGGAAATCGGTTTTGAGTTTGTATTAAGATTTTGTTAAAAGTATCGATATTTTCTGATGGATAATGAGTACTCGGATTAAGGCATATTAACTCACGCTCTTTCAGAAAAGCACAGGCAGCAGGATACGACAACAACTAAACGACGCCAGACATTCGATATGACCAGAAATACAAAACCTTGAACAGTATTGACTTGTCATCGTACAGACCAAGTACGAATGACTCTAATTTCCCGGAAAAGACGTTTTACGCATATGACTTCCAAATTAAAACAGGCATTGGTATATGCACAGGTAGGGCAATAATACCAAGTTTTTACCAAACCATCATTTTTTACACAGTTTTGAAATTTCAAACGGGGAGTTTTGTTCATTGATGTTTTATTATTAACACAATGGTAAATGTATCGACAGGCTTTCTATAACAATACTTTCACCTGACACTTCCAGGTAAATGAAGTATATATAGAACGCTTTGACATTATCAACTCTATGTTGGCAATCCCTATTTTCAAATATATTGTGATTCAAATTAGATGCTCATTGTTTGCAATTTTGCATATTTAAAATGATCTTTGTAAATGTATATCAGTCGATTTTGAGTTTGATTTAAGATTTTTAAAATGTCAAAATTTTCTTGCTGTGTTGGTTTTTTGTATGTAAACTAGCATGATATCCCTGTCTAATAGACGACGCAACATTGATACAAATAAAAAATATCTATATCAGAGGTTGATGAATATGCCTAATAACATGTTTTTGATTCGTAGATTGTTATATGGATTTTTTAATGATAAGCTTTCCAATGTAATATCATTATATAAAACTTTGAAGAAATTCATAGTGTAATCTTTGAAGTTAAAAATGGACAATAAAGGATAAATTATCTTTTTTATTTCAAATTATCTAGAAATGCTTTATTTTAATTGTGCATCATTTCAATGATTTTCAATGACAGTGGATATGTACATGATAATCACGAGCATTAATATGAACCTGAGGATCCCAGACACTGGTAGTCTAATCAGCTGTACCATTATAGAAATATTAAATCGTTCCAACCTCAATCACGTAATATATTCAGTGATCTATTTCCAAAAATAAACAATTCAGCTATGTCAATCAAAACCTACACAGATATATTGTATGTATATAGCTACTGACACAACTGGACTCGATGACCAATCCTCACCAGGATCACAGATGTAGCTACTGACACAACTGGACTCGAATACCAATCCTCACCAGGATCACAGATGAAACGAATGCCTCTAGAATCAAAGACAGAAAACAGGTTACCCAACCTTGAAAACAGCTCTCCTATTATGTGGAGTTATCTAGAGCATGACCAACACAAATGGGCTCAATTTAATGCAAACGACAACAGAAAACTTGAATGTGATTGGTCCAGACAACGAAAAACTTCAATTGTTTCAGTTGATAACAAAACGTAAGCTATGACATGATGACAAAGCTACATTTACAACGTACACTTTTACTCCTGTGTGTCGTTCAATATAGCTCCCCAGTTCATATATAGAGATTAACTCTTAATGTTCGAGATATCGAGAATGTTAAAAATGTGGCACTAGAAAACCATTTCTGCATTTCGAAATAAAAGCAGTGAAGTATACATGACGAAATTCCTTGTAATTTAACACCCTTACTGAAGTGTTCAATTAAACAGATTGTTCAGGTAGAAAAGGTTAGCCAGTTTTACACTAGGTGTCTACTGCGATAAGTCAATTAGCACCAATATTCACGAGTGCGCCGCTTACTTATCTGTGCATTTTCAGAGTGGCATTTTGTCAAGTTTACTGTTTCGACATTCTCGTGTACCTGATAAGGAATGGCGTATAGAATAGGGTCTAACCGTGACAAGTATCTCGCGAAATTCATAAATACTAGAATTTTGTATTACGATATTAGTATTCATATGGTCATAAACGATTGTTAGCCCTTCGCAAAGTTGAGCTAATTGTTGAATTCGGCATCGAAACGGGGTTTGCTGTGATAATTTGCTCATGTAGAAATATTTTAGCAGTCTAAAGACTATGACAGCACCATACAAATATTGTACTACAAATTTCGAGATTTTCTATTTGAATGTAAGCTCATTAACACGAGTCCAAAGCCATCTCCATTTTAATTTTCATAATATTTTTTTCAGAAACATATTACGACTGAATTGAACAGTTTTAGGAATTTGTTACCGTCAGGTTGACTGCAATTCCTTTCAATCTTTTACGTTAAAAAAGTTTAATAAATCTAAAAAAAAAAATCAAAGTACTGAAAGTACTGGTATGCTAAGACCATTAAAAAAATAAATTCTTTGTTATTAGCTTGCTATATACTGAAACCAACTATATGCAAGCAGTAAATCATTGCAGCCCATAAAAAATGACCAGCAGATATCAGAAATAACAAGCACAGTAGTATTACTTATGTAATACATGTCCCAAAGTAGGCTCCAAGATGAAATGATAGGGAAGTTGTCCATTTCTTTAGATACATTGTAGGAAATGTTGATCTTGGACACCATATTATCACTTTAAAGACTGCGTATCTTATTGGTTTATGACCATTAGTTAGACCATCATGCAAATAACATGCTACATACAAATATTGGGCAGCTTCATTTTCCAGATTGTCTTAAAATAAAAGATGCCTGTTCTTTCGGAACACCTGGTCTTATTCTCCTTGTACTTTTTCAGGGAATCTTTGAGTAGATATTGTCTTTCTTTCAATTTTACACTTGTTTTGCTGGTTCTACAATTCTGTTGACATGTTTATATATTCTTTGTTCTCTAAAACTTGTCGCAAGATATTTTATTCCTCTTGTATTATAATTTTTACATACTAACAATGACCTTGAACTTTGAAATTTGCAAGATGTGAATATCTTTTAGGTTGTGAAATTTGATAGAAAAATGAGGGTAATGCAAAGAACACCCCCATGCATCTATCCGTTTTTTGACTGTGACCTTGATCTTTGACATCTGACCCTGAATTTCTAAAGAAACCGACTTCTCATAAGGGATACATGTTCCAAATTTGATTAAGGTATACTGTCTTAGTCTCAATGCATTTACAAGGTAATCATATAGTACTTATGCAAGTACTGTGACCTCTACATTCAATCCTCAACATCATTACTATATCCTCTCCACATTGCCCAGGGATAACTGAAACTGTAATCCAAATGATAACTAATACCCCCAACACCCACAGCCTTAGCTATCTCCCCATGGTGTCCTTTTGCACAGAAACATCCTCTGAAACACAGCGGCATGTGCACGTTCCCCAACATTCCTGCAATTTTTTGTTGAAATTGGTCCACAGGTTTAGAAGTTGACCGACGAGCAAAACCCGTCTATATTGACCAGTTGCCATGGCAATCGATATTTCGAGGGAAAATGGTGCATGCACATCTGCACATTGTCCCGAATATTACTGAAAAGTTTCATTGGAGTTGTCCAGACAAGATGTGTCTACAGACAGACAAACAGATGGATGGACGGATAGACAACCTGATTCCAGTTTACCCACCCTTTTGGTGGTATAAGAATGCACAAGAGTGCTTACAAATTCCATGTGGACAGACATTATGGAAAAATAATAATAAAAAAACATGATACAGATGCTTATATCTTGTTTTACTCAGTTTTTAGATACAGTATTCTTCCCATGCTTTGATCAGCAATGTAATCTTGTCATGTCAATATCCTAGTACAAGATTGCATACACAAAATTGTTGTAGGTAGACTTTTAAGATACATAAAAAAATACATGCCTAAGTTTAAATGAAGGTTTTAAACAGAAGTCGTGTTATGTTCAGTATACAGTGATTTTTCTAGACAAACTTGGTATAACTAGTGAATCTTTCTACTCAAGTAAATTGAAGATTGTATACAAATTTACTACAAATGCAGTATACAATGATCTTTTCCACATTTTTTTAGTTTCCGCGATTTGTTGATTCTTCTTTTGTGATGGTAAATATATTTCCGCCTTTAGAGAGTACTGTGACATTAAAAGGCAACATGGTTGTTAGCATCTCCTCAAGTGATTAATCATCTTCAACATCTAATTGGAGGCCGGAAAGAAGGACGTTTTTCTCCACCATAAGGTCCTCAAATCCATTGTTGGTCACCATGGCCAATTCCAACTTAGAAGAATCAATAGAGACACCTTCTACCATTCCAGATTTCATTTCTTCAGGGACATCCACTTGCTGAAAGAGAGTAAGGGAAATAAATAACTATATTTCATTATTGCTATGATTATGTGCAAGAAATATACACTTCTGTATAAGCTTATAGTCTTCCCAATAGGAGTCTATATTAAATATACTGTAATTAATTACTTTGACATTCAGCACTGTCAAATTATTAAGCGATGGACAGCTAGCAAAATGATAATATCTTGACCATGGTCATACAGAGATTGAATCATAAAATTAAATTTGTGTGATAAATCTGTGCAGTATGATAATTTATTTCGACGTTTGTATTTAAAAAAAAAATCATTTTGACTTGAAAAGTAATGTGTAATTTAATTAATTACATTGGACCGTCATGTAATGGTTATTTAATTATTTTGAAAATACCTGTAATGGCAATGCCATTTTCATAATGTAATTGTAATTTAATTAATTACATCATCATGTAATTAAACCCATGCCTGTTACAAACAGTAGCTGTCCTAACTGATCCTAAAATTAACTTTGGCTACATCTATCACAAAATTAACTTTGGCTATGTCTATTACAAATGCCACATTTAGCTACAGTAGAGGTATTTCAAAAATGTACGTCATTGTAGCTGAAAGGACATAATTAATGGTTACTTAACCAGAACTACAGTTCTGAACAAACCACTACAAAGCCTGGTTATCTGTACTAAGACAATGTCCTCTCAATTAATCAATTTCATTGATTATCAACATCTCATTGTTGTACTTCCGGTCACTTGAGTTTCTTAAAGTTTCAATTTGACTTTTAATAAGGCCCAATGTGATAATACTGCAATGTCTTAATAAGCTCTCGAGGGGTATTGGTTAGACTATTCATCCCATTTCATTCCATTCACCATGGAAACAAAACTCTAAAATGCTTAAAAACAGTCGACAATTAATGACAAATATTGAGCCTAGGGCTGTGTAAAATTGATGAATCAAGTGTTGAACTGAAAGTTGACGCAGTTGACATAATACTGAAATTTCTGAGATGAACAAATACAGTACATATATTAAAAGTTCAGGCATAATAAGAATTGTACCAATGGGACCTAACACTTTGCTAGGTTTATCCTAATCTTCATTAAAACACTTTCCGGGATTCAGATGTTAATTGACATCTTCATTATTCCCAATCTTCATATTGTAATCGTTCACATGCATCACTCTTCAACAGAATCAACGAGACATCAGAAAGACAAAAACTAAATTTAAGCTAAAACTATATATATAAACTTCAATTGGCATAGCTGTAGAGTTCCCGTACGATTTCATACCCTGGACTTGGGGTACTTATAAATTATCTCCGATCAGAAATTTGAAAGAGCTAGATCTACAATAGCACGGACAGTGACCGATATTTTAAAGTAAAATCGATATATTACACAGATAGATTCCTAGATCTATTCAAGGTAGCGTAAGTAGTACAGTACAATATTACGGATAAGTTTTTTTCTGTTTAATTTCCGATCTGTTGGGCTACTCACGATCATTCAAAAATAAATTTATTTCAAAACACTGAAATACTTTACGGAAGCAACAAAAATGTGCTAGATGCTTACATAACATTTTTCAAATGCATACTGCTTCAAAGGAAAAGTCTTGAAAATATTTTGAAAAAAGTGCCATGGCGGCAGTGCCCAGCTTGCGCGTCGCCGTCGAGCCTAAATTCAATACATGCGATAGCTCATTTCAAATGAGTATTTTGCAAAAAATGCAATTGCTAGTTCAGTATAAGTATTGACTTTAAATTCAGCTTATATATATATATAGTGAAACTTACTTACATCAAATACCCGCCATCTTCTTTCTGCCGCCGTTTTCTTTCAGGGTCCAGCAGCAAAGAGCACCCCGGCTGTTTCCGTCAAAATTTTATGCTACTCTAAATCATTCTTATTTTAGTTTCATTCCTATTTTCACCTACATATTTCAGTATTTTCAAAAGTTTTCAACAGTATTAAACGGGATGAAAATTTTCGAAAAAGAAAAAAAAAAGAAAGATATATGACACCCACAATGCATCGCGCGGAAAAGAAAGTTAAGCCGCCATATTGGCATCGCCTCGCAAAATTTACCACCATAAAACGTGAGTCTTCGTCACTGTATTTACAAATTTCGATGTCTGATTATCATTAATACACAACACAAAACGTTTTCTTGATGTACAAGTAATGAAGAAAATGTCGATAAGGTTGTTTCATTTAATGACTAGGATCAGCAACTTGTAGGGGCGATAATCCAATGATTACGGTAATGTCCGGCAGATGGAGTAGGAGTAAACTTTCGATTTATGAACCAATGAAAACAAAGTACTGATACTCAGGGCCAGGGGCGACAGCAACATGCTGAAGAGCATTGAAAATGCTCTTAGCATAATTATTTACTGCCATCAATAGGAAAACGAGTTCAAAGAACTGCATGACGGTACTGAAAAAATGTCGGAGGTGATATAAGGTACTGGAGGAGATTAACCAGACAGAAGGCGAATGATATCGAGCTACGGCGACTCGCAATCGATCTACCTCTAACTTACGTATTGTGGTATATCATGTATCAAAATCGGGGTTTATACTAGCTTTGGGATTAAAGTAATGATGTTGATAATGGGGGTAAGACGGTAAGGTTACATCAGTGACAATAGAAATAATTACAAAGATTCAACACGGAGAGCTCTGATCTCGGCTTCCATCATCTTAAGGATCGTTTTTGTACAGTGTAAATATTAATACATCAGAATTAAAGGATTTGTATGTTTTTAAATTTCATTTTTTCTTTTTGTTACTCATAGATGAGATAATTAAAAACAGGATATTACCTGTATGATATGTCCAACTTTGTATGACAATTCTAAGCAACATTTACATATACATTCATCGTGTCTATACACTGTCATACACACTCATCGTGTCTATAGTGTAGTTACGCTGTCATACACACTCATCGTGTCTATACAGCGTAGTTACGCGGTTGTACACACTCATCATGTCTATACACTGTCATACACACTCATCGTGTCTAATACAGTGTAGTTACACTGTCATACACACTCATCATGTCTATACGGTGTAGTTACACTGTCATACACACTCATCGTGTCTATACAGTGTAGTTACGCTGTCGTACACACTCATCGTGTCTATACAGCGTAGTAACACGGTCGTACACACTCATCGTGTCTATACAGCGTAGTTACGCTGTCGTACACACTCATCGTGTCTATACAGCGTATTTACGCGGTCGTACACACTCATCGTGTCTATACAGCGTAGTTACGCTGTCGTACACACTCATCGTGTCTATACAGCGTAGTTACACTGTCATACACACTCATCGTGTCTATACAGCGTAGTTACACCGTCATACACACTCATCGTGTCTATACAGCGTAGTTACACCGTCATACACACTCATCGTGTCTATACAGTGGAGTTACACGGTCATACACACTCATCGTGTCTATACAGTGTAGTTACGCTGTCATACACACTCATCGTGTCTATACAGTGTAGTTACGCTGTCATACACACTCATCGTGTCTATACAGTGTAGTTACACCGTCATACACACTCATCGTGTCTATACAGTGAAGTTACACGGTCATACACACTCATCGTGTCTATACAGTGTAGTTACGCTGTCATACACACTCATCGTGTCTATAAAGTGTAGTTACACTGTCATACACATTTATTGTGTCTTTAAAGTGTATTTAACACACCCATATGCACTCATCATTTCTATGCAGTGTAGTTTACACAAACATTCTATGCGTTTTCATGTATGGTAACTTAATATTGTTGTCAGTTCTGTATTGCACTTACTGGGCTGAATAAGACTGATATGTCTATTGCATTCAGTGATATAGTTTGTATACTATCTTTGATGGTTGGATGTCATCCGTTCTGTTATGTATACTAGATGTGTATTGGTTGAAAATGTTCTAGAGAGTTTAATGTTGAAAAACTTCTGAAACTACTCTCTGACTTGAATATACATGTAAATTATTTTAGAATAACTGAAATCACAAATGAAAAAAGAGAACAAGTCAAGTTACTCAACAAACCTTTATTTCACAAATATGTAACTAGCCATGATACTCTTGGTACAGACCTAAATACTGTATATGTATCGCAGACCACTGCCAACAATATTACAGAATGCAATACCAAGACACCCAAATACCATCGTTATATACCAGTGTACTGACGGACACCAACGGAATTATAAAACCCTCCGTCTACACAACATTCCTATACCGACGTTATATACCAGTGTACTGACTGACACCAACGGAATTATAAAACCCTCCGTCTACACAACATTCCTTTACCAACGTTATATACCAGTGTACTGACTGACACCAACGGAATTATAAAACCGTCTGTCTACACAACATTCCTATACCAACATTATATACCAGTGTACTGACTGCATGAAGTATTTACCTACAGAAATATATAACCATCATTCTAAACAAAACTCCTACACCATCATTTTTAATGTGAAATTTGATATAGCACTCACAATATCTGCAAAAAATCAACAATATTGAATTTAACTTTCAACAAATACAGAAAATTATGGGACACATACAACTGCGTAATACATGTAGGTTCTAGAATAGTATGTAAAAGGCACTAAATAAGTATAAATGTCTCAAAATTGGTTCTGAATCATAAACATTCCATTTATATGATTAAAAATGAAGACTTACAAAATGAGGTAAATTCTGTTTGATTTCTGTGACTGTCGTAGTGTGTAAATCATATTAAATCATTGCACAAATAGAATTTTGATGTTTTATAATCTGTTTACCTGAAGCATTTTGACAATATATATATATATGTAAATTAAAAAAATGAAAGGGAACACTTCTCTTAATAAGATACATTTAAACATGATTTTAAAATGCGTATATAACAATAGAATCCACTAAAGGGGACCTCACTGTCTACTGAAGCATGATCTTCACTTGTTCTACATACAACATTAATGTCTTTCCTTTTATTTGCTTATCTGTTGAACATTCAGTCTTTATCAAGTTCCAAAACTAACAAGAAAAGTTGGCAAATTACATACAATTTCCCAACGAAACATCATCTAACCAATTTGAACTTGCATCCCCAAGAAGTGACTACTGGTAGATGTTTACAGGAAAAAGTGCTCAGATCAACATTTTTTCTCTGATGTAGGTCAAAGAACAAATGTAGGTCGGAATGACCTACTTTTGATACATGATGAAGCGCCTCATCAAGGTGGTAAGTATCAAGGTACAGTGACAAGCAGTGAAGGCCATACAGCCTGAAGAAGTGGACAGAAGGACAGACAACTACAGCCTTCACCCTTCACTGTTGGAAAATTATTATGCATGACATGAGTTCAAAGGAAATCTACTCAGGAAATTTAGGAAATAATTCTGAATTATGCATCCATGACTTCTAAAGACATAGTACACTTTCTTACAAATACACATTGCAATTGTCAAAATTTAACATGGTCGCAAAATTATGCATGCGAAACACCGGGGACCAAAATGTGCTGGAAAATGTACATTTTGTGAAGGGAGACGAGGAAACAGGTTCACAACAGTTATGACTTAAATAACTACTTTTTTGTACCATTTTTGACAGTAACTACAAAAGAAAATGTTAAGTAATCTAAATCTGTGAAATACCCTTTTTTCAATTTTATGTGCTAATTAATAAAAACAAATTGTAATGAATTTACATCATAAAGCATGTTTTCATAATGTTTCAAATTATGAAATCATATGAGTCCATTTCATAGTTTTGCTTTACATAAAAATAGATTTATTCTCTAAATCATCAGAAAAAAGGGATTCTGCTTCAGCGAACTCGTTAATTCAATACATGTCTAGGAATTCTTCTCTTGGACCTTCATGACAACCTACAAAAAAAACCCAGAATATCCTTGTGATCACAGAAACAGGTTTCTAAACTATCAGTATTCATCAGATCTTTACCAAATCTATAGGATAAATGAATGTAACTTAATCAATCAATGAATATTATGGTTCACATAAATACATTGATATTTCACAAACATGCGATTAAAAAGATATATTTTCAAGATATTCAAAAATTCAAATAAAGAAAAGTGAGGTTATTAATAAGAATATGGTTTGTATCTTGTTGGTTTGTTGTCATTAATTTGTGATTTACTTACATTTTTCACCTCCAAATAGTTCTGTAGACCATACTCGCCCCTAAAACAATGATACACATTCATGAATTTAACTGTCAAAGTTATCAAAATTAGAACTAAAAAGGCCTTAAAAAGTATCACTGCTGCTTTTTTTATCCTCTACTACAGATTATCCTCCAGACAATCATTAAATTAGGTGCTCCAGCAGTGATATTGTTAATTAACTGGACAAAATCTCTGTTTCTCTCTCTAATCACAATATCATGGAACCTTTTAACTATATCAGATAAATAACAAAACATTTAACTTACCAACAAACCAGAAATCAATCTACTGACTAAAATCTAAACTCAACCAGAAAGAATTTTCTTTTAGTTCACTTACAGCTCCCGGCCAAGTCCGGACATCTTGAAACCACCAAATGGAGCCTGGGGATTCACAACGTTGTAACAGTTTACCCTGGAGAAAAAAAAAAAGAATCAAATGAAATCTGTAAGGAAGGTTTAAACCTGTGAGGGCAGTTCAAATCTGTAAGGAAGGTTTAAACCTGTGAGGGCAGTTCAAATCTATAAGGGAGGTTTAAACCTGTGAGGGCAGTTCAAATCTGTAAGGGAGGTTTAAACCTATGAGGGCAGTTCAAATCTGTAAGGGAGGTTTAAACCTGTGAGAGCAGTTCAAATCTGTAAGGGAGGTTTATACCTGTGAGGGCAGTTCAAATCTGTAAGGGAGGTTTAAACCTATGAGGGCAATTCAAATCTGTAAGGGAGGTTCAAACCTGTGAGGGCAGTTCAAATCTGTAAGGGAGGTTTATACCTGTGAGGGCATTTTAAATCTGTAAGGGAGGTTCAAACCTGTGAGGGCACTTCAAATCTGTAAGCGAAAATCTGTAAGGGAGGTTCAAATATGTGATGGAGGTTCTAATCTAGGAAACACTAAAACATTTTACACCTGCTGTCAGATAAAGCTATTATCAAAATGTAATTCTTTGGTTTCAATATTGCTTCCATGAAATTAAAAATACAATTCTTTTTAATAGTGATTATTAACTTCAGTAAAAACCTACCACACAGTCCCGGCCTTGACCCCTTGAACAAAGGTCATAGCCTTATCAATATTAGTGGTAAAGATAGCTGCACCCAGGCCATAATGTGTACTGTTGGCGCGCTCTAGCACCTCATCCATATCTTTAAATTTCAAAATTTGCTGGACTGGGCCAAATATCTGAAAATGAGATCAGTTTACATGTATTAAATTTAATGGTCACAACTACAAAACAAAAGAAGCTGGAGGAAAACTGATAAAATATTCATTATAAAGGAAGAATTAAAAGAAATTAAACCATTATTTTATTCTATCAATCTAATTGCACAGCGTATCAAATGTAAAATAAGTCAAGCTAAATCTATACTGCACAAATCAAATCTTGTCAAATACATAGCCATATTTAAAGCGACATGTTAATGGATTTCTCTGATCCTTATGCTGAAATATCAGACGTCTGGTTAATGATTATTTCTAATGAAAACATTAAATATCTGACAACCATGATTGTAATCTACATTAGATTTCATGATTTTAACAGAGGAAGTGCAGAATAGTATTTGTTTATTCATTTTTGAAAGCAGCATAGTGAAGATTATGAAACCTAGACAAGCACTGCAACCACAGTGTAAACACTTTGTTTTTACGATGAAAGAGAAATATTGGTCTAGTAAAACACCTTGTCAGTATATTATTAAGATAGATAGTAGCTACACAACATCAGTGACCTTGACCTTGGACTAAAAATAGTTCCAAGGAGGCGATTGTGGTGAAGATACTCTCTATCCTCTTTCTGTCTGATTTAGAGGATAGTTAGCCCAACAGAGAGAAAGTCTTTGGTGTCAGAAGGAGGCTAATACATGCACTTTGTGGGATTTGAAATTTAAATGCTTATTTTTGAAACTCTTCCCAGGGAACTGCTGGAGTTACCTCCTCCTTGGCGATTCTCATGTGGTCCTGAACTCCTGAAAACACTGTCGGTTTGATGTAGTATCCCTCATCACTATCCTTTGCACCACCATACTCACAGGTGGCTCCTTCTTTCTTCCCTGATTCAATCAGCTCCAAAATCTTATTGTACTGTTCATCATCAATCTGCAAGGAAGGTGTGATTTTGTTGATGCTGTTCATCTAATTGATATGTATAATATGTATATAGCAGATGTATACTACTTCTGAGATGTATGTTTCTGTGTGGAATAGCATTCAACATATAGACCATTAACACAGGAAATCTAACCAATGTTTATATCATATAGAAGGGTCACTTCCGTGAGGTTCCATTTTTCAGCAACTTAATCAACTTAAATGCAATTTGCCAAAATTTCCAACTTCACTGCCTGGTACCACTGATATACTTGTTAGGACAGACCAGAGATACTTGTATAGTAATATATCCATGCTCCATTAACCTGTACTATATAAGATGGAAAGAGAACAGGAGAATAACTTGCAGTTCTGAATGAAATTTCATATGGTTTTATGTTATCTATGCATATTTATACCCCACATACACAAAATGTGATTGAAATAGGTACAGCAGTTTTTGAGGTTTAAAACAAGATGCCAAATGGGCCTACAATGCCCAGTAAGTGTTAACTGTTTTTCAAAAATCAATTAACAGTTCACATCATTGACATTCAGCAACTTGGTTTATGAAAAGTCATCTTTTGAAAGTTGTAGCAAGTTTGACCTCTTTGACCTAGAAACTTGTCAGAAAAGAATCATGAGTGTGGGTTTTTTGTTTCAGCAGAAGAAGCCATTAAAGGTTTAAACATCTTTAACAACCCTGACCTTGGATGTTGGTCATTGCCATTTCTTTTCACAAACTTTTTCAAGCTATAATCTTAATTCAAGGCATTTTAGCTTATGAGAGGAAGTAGTTGGATGGTTTTAATATAACTGAACCCCGGTGACATTGAATATGGGTCACAGTCAATTCTTTTGACATGATATGTCAGACTTCATCCAAGGAACTTTTTAGGCAAATATCATAGTTGCAGGCCTTCGTGTTATTGAGAAAAAGTCCTCTGAAGGGAAAAATTGCCAGTGACCTGACAACAACAGACCATGACATAAATCAATCAATGCTTCAGTCCATATGAGCTAAATATTATTTGTGGGCACTCGGGGGACAATAAACATTGTATCCCTACATGAGATTTATTCAACTTACCAAGACAAATGGAAAATGACCTACCTGAGGTTCTATGTTACAAATAGGACGTGGCATATCTGAGACTTATGAGGACAAGCAACAGATATTGATCTACTTACGACTTAATAGGATACTGCTCTACCTGGGGCTCACTGAGACACAGGAAATGACCTACCTGTGGTCCACTTTGTGTTGACTTGTCGTAAGGGTTTCCGACTTTCCGACTTTCAGCCTTCGCAATGCTCATCTTGACAAATTCATCATAGATATCTTCCTGCACAAAGGTTCGGCTGCCAGCAATACAACACTGCCCCATGTTAGTCATCACAGCCTCATGGGCAAAGTCCACAGCACTAGTCACTGATCAAGTAAAGGAGGCAGGTCAAAGGTCAAGGCAGATGAAGTAAGTTAAATTTTGTCAAGGGGTTCATAAAATACCTTGTGTACCTTGTGTCTCTATTTCAAAAGTGGTCAAGGGTAACCTTTGACAGTTAACCTTGACTGGTGACCACCAAAATGTAATGAAGTGTTAAAAGTGTGATGCTATGGTATGCATGACAATATTGTGTCCTGGAGTTTGTGAGAAATTTCGTTCACTAACTTTTGATTTCAAAATTGGTCAAAGATGACCTATGACCTTTAACCTTGATTGATGACATTCAAAATTTTCTCAGGCATAGAACTTGATGAAGTGATCTAAATCTGGACTTAGGTTCGGGAGATATCTTGTGTACAAGCTTTGCATGACAGTTTGACACACCAGGGATTATTGATCACTGATTTGGGAAAGGGCTTTTTTTAGGGATCAAATGGAAAGGGAATTGTAAGGAGGAAACTATCTTTTTTTAAATTTTACCGCTTTATAATATATAATTAATTGGGAATGCAGCCCATATTTGGGCTACAGAACCCTCTGAAAAAATAACTGCACACAGACAAAGTGATTACATAAGTAGGGGGTTTTAGAGTTGATGAAGTCTTTGGTTAAACTAAATAAGTTTTCTAAATCTTTCTCGCATTGCTTTCACCATGAATGTAATTGTTCTAAACTGTTTGATAATTAAATCGTGATCAGGGATATAATTAAATCGTGATCAGGGATATAATTAAATCGTGATCAGGGATATAATTAAATCGTGATCAGGGATATAATTAAATCGTGATCAGGGATATAATTAAATCGTGATCAGGGATATAATTAAATAGTGATCAGGGATATAATTAAATCGTGATCAGGGATATAATTAAATCGTGATCTAGGATATAATTAAATCGTGATCAGGGATATAATTAAATCGTGATCTAGGATATAATTAAATCGTGATCAGGGATATAATTAAATCGTGATAAAGGATATAATTAAATCGTGATAAAGGATATAATTAAATCGTGATAAAGGATATAATTAAATCGTGATCAAGGATATAATTAAATCGTGATCAGGGATATAATTAAATCGTGATAAAGGATATAATTAAATCGTGATAAAGGATATAATTAAATCGTGATAAAGGATATAATTAAATATAATTAAATCGTGATAAGGGATATATTAAATCGTGATAAAGGATATAATTAAATCGTGATCAGGGATATAATTAAATCGTGATAAAGGATATAATTAAATCGTGATAAAGGATATAATTAAATCGTGATCAGGGATATAATTAAATCGTGATAAAGGATATAATTAAATCGTGATCAGGGATATAATTAAATCGTGATAAAGGATATAATTAAATCGTGATAAAGGATATAATTAAATCGTGATAAAGGATATAATTAAATCGTGATAAAGGATATAATTAAATCGTGATCAAGGATATAATTAAATCTTGATCAGAGATATAATTAAATCGTGATAAAGGATATAATTAAATCGTGATCAAGGATATAATTAAATCGTATAGGGATATAATTAAATCGTGATAAAGGATATAATTCGTGATCAAGGATATAATTAAATCGTGATAAAGGATATAATAAATCGTGATATAATCAGGGATATAATTAAATCGTGATATAATTAAATCGTGATCAGGGATATAATTAAATCGTGATCAGGGATATAATTAAATCGTGATCAGGGATATAATTAAATCGTGATCTAGGATATAATTAAATCGTGATCAGGGATATAATTAAATCGTGATCAGGGATATAATTAAATCGTGATAAAGGATATAATTAAATCGTGATGATAAAGGATATAATTAAATCGTGATAAAGGATATAATTAAATCGTGATCAAGGATATAATTAAATCGTGATGATCAGGATATAATTAAATCGTGATAAAGGATATAATTAAATCGTGATCAAGGATATAATTAAATCGTGATCATCGTGATAAAGGATATAATTAAATCGTGATAAAGGATATAACTAAATCGTGATAAAGGATATAATTAAAATCGTGATAAAGGATATAATTAAATCTGCATCAGAGAAAATGATGTGATCAAGGATATAATTAAATTTGCCACCAAGGATATAATTAAAGTTCGAGAGATATAATTAAATCGTGATCGCTTGCATCAGAGAAAATGAGACTTTTGCCACCAAGTTTAGAACATCCTGCCGCCTGCATAATTAACTGGCCAACCTGTCAACGGGACAAGAACAACTATTGTCAGATGCAATGGAATAATGCTAATGACAATTATCATCAACCAATGGATACTGGAGAATGGAAAAGTTTGGAGACACTGAATACCTACCTCAGTTGATCCTGTGAAAGCCACTTTGCCCACATCCATATGGGAGGAAATCGCTGCCCCTGCTGTGGGGCCATAGCCTGGCACGACATTTATAACGCCCTTCGGAAAACCCGCCTGTATGGATAACATAATCATCTTTATATACATCTACATAAACACTGTATATATATCTATATAATAATCTCTATACACATCTACATAATCGTTTATATATACAACTTGGTGCCCACCACACTTTGATCTTCATTTGCTCTTTGGATCTTTTCCTTCTTTTCTCTTTCCTGTTAATGCTAAGACATTTGAACATTCATTTGTAGAAATTGTGCTGATAATCTTTACCAGCCAAATCCAAAATGACTGCCTGGAAGCCAATTTGTTTCTTCTTATCAATTTCAAAATTCAACAGGAAAACGAAGAGACCAAAGGGATCATACATATGAAATTTGAGAAAGATCTATACAGTACTTCTAAAGAAATACTGATAACAAAATTTTGAAGTCAAAATTGTAGATGCTCGCTTTTGGACCATTGTTTTTTCTGATCATTAGCAAAATCAGACGGTCAAAACAAGGGACCAAAAGGAACCTTTACATGAAATTTAAGAAAGATCCATTAAGTTCTTCTTAAGAAATAGCAATAACAAACTTTCTTTGTCAAAATCCAACATGGCTGCCTTCCAGCCATTTACTTTTTCTGATCAGTCTTAAAATTAAATGGGCACAACTAGGGACCAAGGGGAATCTAAATATGCAATTTGAGAAAGATCCATCCAGTGCTTTCCAAGAAATGGAATAACAAATTTCATTGAAAAGTTCACAATGGCCGCCTGTCTGCCATTTTATTTTCTGATCAGTCCCAAAATCAAACACACACAACTAGGGACCAAGAGGAACCTACATATACAATATGAGAAAGTTCCATTCAATTCTTTGATTTGAATAGCCCACAGTACCTGTGATATAATCAACCCATCATGATAGCTTGATCCTGTTTACGCAGTATGTATACAGCAGTGGTCAATTTACTGAGTCCCTTGTCATTAATTTTGAAAGAGTAACAACTAAATTCTTATGAGTATTCTTCATATATCCAACAAATGAGCCATGCTGATGAAATTTCAAATAATTCCAATTTAATCAATTTGAAGTACAAACCTCCATAAGTAGTTGTGTACAATACAAGGCTGTAAGAGGGGTTTGTTCAGCTGGCTTCACCACCACCACATTACCAGTGGCCAAAGCTGGAGCTATCTTCCACACAAACATGGGCACTGGGTAGTTCCACTGAAAACATTTAAAACAGTTTCGTTATCATTTATGTATAACAAGCCAGTCTTGGCCAAGTATATATAATTTATACTGGAATTGAACAATTTCTACCATTGGTCTTCAATCCATTTAATATTAGTATTAAATGATAAATTGTTATATCATAATTTCATTTTAAATGCCAGACCAGAAAGTACACATAGTGATATACAAAAACTTGAAAGCAAATGGAATATTAAGTAATTATATCTGTGTAAGTAACATTCTCTGAACAGTCAAAACATCACAATTTGTCCAAGACAGAATGAAGACCACACTTATGTGTTTAATACATATAATATTTATCTGCCAATGTCAGGTAATAAGCCAGAGCAGGCCCTCTGGGGTTTTTTTTGAAAATGTATCCAAAAGTTGCTCTTAAACATCCTGTAACAAGTCCATCCTGTCAGTCAATGTGTCCTGTAGCTTTTGATTGATAAACAGGTACAACATTTATTGCCAACAAAAGATTCTGCTACTCACTGGAATAATCTGACCACAGACTCCGATAGGTTCATGTCTAGTGAAGCTAAAAAAATCTCCATCTGTAATCAAATGTTCATCACTGATTTTTACTACAGACATAATAAAATCATCACAAACATTTCCATTTTGTTATAGAAATCTATGCTAGAGCAGATTTGAATTTGCTAATTATAAAGTCTTTAAAGTCTATGTGACATTATGTAAGTTTGTAGAAAAAACAATCACAAATGTTTTATATAAGGTATTAATAGAGATGTTAAAAAATATAAGACACTAACAGAGATGTTTTGTATATTTCACTAACAGAGATGTTTTGTATAAGTCACTTACAGAAATGTTTTGTATAAGTCACTTACAGAGATGTTTTGTGCAAGTCACTAACAGAGATGTTTTGTGCAATTCACCAACAGAGTTGTTTTGTATATTTCACTAACAGAGTTGTTTTGTATATTTCACTAACAGAGATGTTTTGTGCAAGTCACTAACAGAGCTGTTTTGTATATTTCACTAACAGAGTTGTTTTGTATGTTTCACTAACAGAGTTGTTTTGTGCAATTCACTAACAGAGATGTTTTGTGCAAGTCACTAACAGAGATGTTTTGTATAAGTCGGTTACAGGGATGTTTTGTATATTTCACTAACAGAGATGTTTTGTATAAGTCACTTACAGGGATGTTTTGTATAAGTCACTTACTGGGATGTTTTGTATAAGTCACTTACAGGGATGTTTTGTATAAGTCACTTACAGGGATGTTTTGTATAAGTCACTTACAGGGATGTTTTGTATAAGTCACTTACAGGGATGTTTTGTATAAGTCACTTACTGGGATGTTTTGTATAAGTCACTTACTGGGATGTTTTGTATAAGTCACTTACAGGGATGTTTTGTATAAGTCACTTACAGGGATGTTTTGTATAAGTCACTTACAGGGATGTTTTGTATAAGTCACTTACTGGGATGTTTTGTATAAGTCACTTACAGGGATGTTTTGTATAAGTCACTTACAGGGATGTTTTGTATAAGTCACTTACAGGGATGTTTTGTATAAGTCACTTATAGGGATGTTTTGTATAAGTCACTTACAGGGATGTTTTGTATAAGTCACTTATAGGGATGTTTTGTATAAGTCACTTACAGGGATGTTTTGTATAAGTCACTTACAGGGATGTTTTGTATAAGTCACTTACAGGGATGTTTTGTATAAGTCACTTACAGGGATGATGCTTGCTGAAAGAAGAAATTTGGTAATTGTGTTACAGAATGGATATCAATAGTCCAGACCTTTTGGTTTTTGCCGGATTTGATCCTTGTGACCTTAAAGGTTCGTCAAGATCATTCATTTGACCAAACTTTATAGCTTTTCAACCCAGTATGCTACAGGCCAAATATTTGAACCCTGGGTCTTTTGATTATTGAAAAGAAGTCATTTGAATGGAAAGTTCTTGTATGGCATAGGGTGCACAGTGTATGATGATGTACAAACTATCATTTAAGTCAGATTACCTTACAGGTCACTAACGGAGATATGTGAGTCATTAAGAGATAATTTGTGTAAATCACGAACTGAGATGTTTTGTTAACCTTAACAGAGATCGTTGGTAAAGAATTCCACTGTGAGGACAGTAACAACAGTATATAACATACAATCATGATCTGATGTGGATGGTTTAACAAAGTACACAGTACTTTTACTTACTAATAGGGATGGTTTTGCCATGTATTTTGTCAGCCCAGCCTGCATAATATCGGATACAGTCAGCAGAGAAGAATACCTCACCATAGGCCATTTTGAATGGTTTGCCATTGTCTAGAGTCTCTAAACTCTAAAAAGACAAAAATATCAAACTTCTATATTTAAAGGTATTTACACACTATATTTAGGCTTAATCAAGATCATGAAACTATCTACTTCTGCCTGTAGTGCGATCATGTCAACCTTAAAATGTATCATACGGATTCCATGCATATTGACTAATCCATTAATTATTGAAAGTTTAAACACCTACCCCTATGTAAACAGCGTCTCTTTCTAACAGATCAGCAAACTTCATCATTAGTTTCCCACGCTTGCTTGCATCCATTCGTCTCCATGGTGATCCAAGTTTGAAGGCTTCCTTGGCTGCTGCGACAGCCTTGTCCACATCTGCCTATGTTGGATAAAATAGTTACATGTATATAATCATGTGCATATCTCTTTAAGTCACTGATCTTTCAAACTTCACGGACCTATCAAAATGATTTAGCTCTTTGCATGTTTTCATCCGTTCTTTTTTTGGTACAAAAACATGATAAACACAACTACAAGTCATCATTTTAATGATTTTTTGTAATGTTTTAATTGACAAACTATTAATAGACTTTAAATGAGTATGATAACCTTGTAAACCTATTCAACAATAAAATTCCTGAGTTCAGAGGTCTCTTGTTCAGGTTCAATTACTGAGTTCAGAGGTCTCAGGTTAAGGTTCAATTCCTGAAGTCAAAGGTCTCAGGTTAAGGTTCAATTCCTGAAGTCAAAGGTCTCAGGTTAAGGTTCAATTCCTGAAGTCAAAGGTCTCAGGTTAAGGTTCAATTCCTGAAGTCAAAAGTCTCAGGTTAAGGTTCAATTCCTGAAGTCAAAGGTCTCAGGTTAAGGTTCAATTCCTGAAGTCAAAGGTCTCAGGTTAAGGTTCAATTCCTGAAGTCAAAGGTCTCAGGTTAAGGTTCAATTCCCGAGTTCAGAGATCTCAGGTTCAATTCCCGAGTTCAGATTCAAGTCTTGATCTAGCCGTGTTAGTTTACATTTTTTCCTCATTTGTCATCTTTTTGCAATCTTTTCATCTGAATACAAAACCATTACATGGATGTTAAGCGATGACTATCCTGACTGTACAAAATGCTTTAACTATGACTAAATGAAGTAGTTGCATTTACTTTGTAGGATTTATCTGTGTCACAGAGAGCTTATTGTACAGGTAAACAGTTTTACTAGGTATTTACCTGTCAGGATGACAGTAAGTATCATCACAGGTCTGTCCATCCAGCCATAATAGAAGAACATACACTAATGTATACACATGTAGTTTAAAATCTATTTCCTCCCCAGGCATCCCTTACAGTGAATAATAGCTACAGCACTTTAGACCAAATGACAAGATATTGTTCATCCAACTAAGTCTAGGATTAAAATATCAAATTACTTTCTCTATTATCGTGAGTAATTAAGGTTTGATCAGGTTTCTGATATCCCTTGCCTGACAATACAATGCCACTGATGAATAGGAACAATGATAGAGAAGTAGTAAGTCACAGCAAGTATGAGATAAGTTGAATACTTTACAAGTGACAAGCCCACAGACCAACTTCCCGCAATAATTTCCTTACAGTTTTTGCATGGATAGGATGGTTATGAGTACCTATGATATGAAGGGCACATTCATGAAGTGACCGTAAGATGTCAATTGCGCAAATGTGCGAGACTAATTAACCAGTCCTGACATTGTGACAACACGCATGGACGCCAAGACCTAGGTCTATCAGCAACTGAAATGTCTGGAAACCTGTATTTGCCTTTGACCATGCATAATCATCGCAATGGCCTGACCCCTCTGAACTTCCATCAGCCATGCCATTATTTAATGCCATCAGAAATTCATCAAAATAATGGAAAATGATGTGTTTCTATGAAGACTACCTAATGTAACTCAATGTTACAACACTGCTGTGCATGAGATTTCCTGTTTTGTTCTTTCCCCAGAAGACATTGTCACCAAATACAATAACACAACATTTGATATAAGACCACATGCACTGTAAACTAGAAAGTTGCATGACTAATTTTCAGTGTTTTTGAACAATGCAATAGTGTCACCCTGAGTTTCTTTATCCCCTGAGTATATGAATCTGTGACATGTAATATTTGTCTTACCTTGTCTCCCTCCTGTACATCTGCTATCTTCTGTTTGGTGCTTGGGTTGATGGTTGGGAAGGTTTTACCACTCACAGAATCTACCCACTCATTGTTGATAAAGATCTAAATAACACAAAATGAGTAATTACTATTGACATCATGAGTATTAATTCTCACTTATAGAATTTAAAGTTTGCATACCTGACAATAATTTAAAAAGCTTTGTGCTAAATTAGAATGTAATGATTTTTTTCTATTAATTCAAAATGGCATGTACATATACTGATATATCAACATACCTAATATGAGAATAGTATAATCAACACATTAACGTAAATATCCCACTTTAAAGACAGAAATATTTGAGGATCACATACATAGGACATTACTGGACACATCTAACCCACATAGAAAAGTGTGATTCAGGTGAGACTACGTGGGATTTGTATTAAGAATTATTCTGATTGTTATCGATAAAAGATTACTGACATTCCCAAAATGTTTGACATGATGATACCATTATGTAACTAACAAAAAAAATGTATTATTTGGATTATAATCTAAAACTCAAAGGGCGAGCCAACGTCAGTGCTTACAGATACCACAAGGGTATGCAGGAAGTCCACTTAAAAAGATGGAGAAACTATGATCCAGAAATGGGAAATTAATACAACATACCAGCAAAGACTCTATGCAACAAATACCGTTTTACTCTCACAAAAGAATTGGTAGAGAGTGAAATTTGCTTTCCTTTCAAGTTTTACTCTAACAAAAGAATTGGTAGAGAGTGAAGTTCATTGAAAGGCCTGTGACTGAGATCACCACCACAGTAGGTTCAAACCCTATCAGACAAGAGTATAGAAGAATCAATGGATGTACGGAACCAAGATTTGGTTTTTGAGCAATGCCAGCTCTGATGACACTGTATCAGAACCTTAGAAGAGACATCACACACAGGTAACCAGGATACTTTTTGGAAGGAACAGATTGTAAGGATTAGTAAGTAGAAGAGACTGGCTAATGATACACAGTAGAATTAATCTGGGTAACATATATTTGTAAAGGGCATGTAAATGAGTTAAAATGACATATTAGCAATGGACAGTTGATAATATGCTATGTGGTAAACCATTTGTTTTAAGGAATTAGGACTTTAAATAGTATGTTTCAGTGCCCTGATTAGCCAAGTGTGGGTGAAACCAGTCCAAATAATAAAAGTTTATCCTTTTTGACCTTTGGAGCTGGTATATGTTAACTCCCTGTGACCTCTGGATCATATGAATTATAATTCATATTGTTTGTTGTTCCTTAATTATGACACCAGAACTTATATAATCATAGACAGTGATGCTATACAGAACTGTTGCTATCCTATTGTCATCCAATCAATGGTAGCCCTTAAAATTCAAATGTGGCAGGCTGCTTTCAAGGCTTTTCCAGGAAAAATAAATTCATCATGTCTATTGAATATTTATAATAGATGAAAGCATACGTTTGAATACTCTCTAAAATGTATATATACATAAACTACATTTATTTTACAACCGTTAATCTCCATGGGATGAAAACACAGTACTCAGTTAAAACCGATATGGTTAGGCAGGTGACCTTTGCACGTCTGTTCGACAAGCCAAACTCCAGATGTCTTGGTGAAAACCAAGTTACCACTGTACTACCCCAGCACCCAAATATCATTTTGACTGTATTCAATAAAACAAGAGTACCACGGGTGGAACAAGAACACCATCCCATGCAGAAGAAATATTCATGATTTATTTCATATAAAAGACCCCATATATGGAAATGGTAATGATGCCAAAATGGGAAGTTGGAAAAAAATGCTGAATATTTTCAAAACAGGGAGATGGGTGAAAACTCTGGACAAGATTAAAATGTTCACAAGAACACAATCTCTTGTTGTTGTTTTTAATTTGGCCACAATTATTAAATTCTGTTACATCATAATCTAAATAGCACTACCATCCGATACTGCTCAAATATGTCCCGATACCACTTTTTAAGTGGTCAAACGTACTGGTTACGCATGAGTGATACATATCATGAGGTGACCAGTAATATGGTCCAGGTGATGTCGAATCGTAACTGTGATGGACTATATCTAATACATTAACAGTAGTGTAGTAGGCAGACACTTTTCATCTGATCTTGTTTTTCACGGTCCCTTAATTGAAAGTGAAATTTTCTACGTTAAATAAACACTACAGAATGTTGTAGAAAAACATGAGCCAATCAAACTGTTTAATTAAAACAAAATGAATGGAAAATCCATACTGAAATATCATACATTAATGATATTCAGTAACACAGGCACATTATTATATTTAACATGCCAGTAATGTATGTGTGTACAGAGGTGACGTAAGCAGACAATAGATTCTGAACATGTTCCATTTTGTTTACTTTGTGTATGTAACAGGTTCATAGTCATGCCCCGTTTTGACTTATATCTTTATGTCATACATCATTACGTAAACAAGACACTACATTTGAGGATAGGTTTTCAATTTTAAATAATTTTAAACAATTTGTAAATGAATAAAGATGTGACCTGTGAAGCAGTCTTATTATGTAAATATGTAGAGTCTCTCTATCGTCACACTTTGATATCTGGTATATCACATGACCTAACAATAATAAAATATGCATATTCACCAGACTAAGCTAAATGGGATAGAACCAGCTTTCACTGCCATCTGTAATGTGAGAGAAACATGATACCGCAGACTTCATACATTATTGAATCATTTTAGACTTGAACATGGCTTTATGAAAATTCATGGCCAAAACCCTGGAAAGCTTACCAGCTTAAAAAATTTGTTACAAACCATGGGAGGAAATATTTGGACAAGATAAAATTGTTAGAGAGCACATCCCTTCCAAAATTTATAAAATCATGATAGCATTAAGGGAAACAAAATTGTATGTAATGTTTTTAAAGCCTGTACTGAGAATGACATGTGGTATTTTGAAAAATCTAGGCTTAAATTTTTGATAGCCTAAAAAGTTTTACAAACCAAAGTTTGAAAACTGGGTGTGGAGATATACAGATAAGATTAACATAGTGAAAAATAACATGGAGCAGTCACCTTTCCAAATAGTTGAACCAAACTGCCGTTATGGAAAACACTAGTTCATAACAAGCTGATTTTGCCTACCAAATTTGAAAAAGATCTGTAAGAAAGAGGGAGGGGATCTCCAGACAAATAATTTACGATGGGCAGACAACGCCATACCATAGCATGCCTTATCAGAATTTTGCAGGAGTATGAAAATTTGTTGTGCAGTTTAAAAACTTTTCTCACAAGTAAACAAATATCAGGTGATCCTAACTGTTCTTATTTAAGTAGGTCATGATATGGCTGATATTAGGTTCACCTGACGACAGGTGAGTTGGCAACACCACATGTCCCCATCAAAAATGCTGTTTTATCTCAAGGATCCTTTTCATGGATATGAAACAACTGGTTTTGTTTAGAAGGGCCTAAAAATCCATAAAAATAGAAAAATGTATTTTAAATGAAACCCATATTGTAAGTATTGAATGTTCTATCAAATCCTTATTCATGGTCTGTTTTAGATGACATAGCTAAGTAGATAAAACATTATTATTGATAAGAGATACTTCTAATAAGTGACTTTGTTTACCTACAAAACCTTGGCATCTCCATAAATCAACCTTGAACCATATAACAAGTCAGGGTCAGTGAAATGTTTAATGTCTGTAACTCCTTGTAACAAAAACTTTTCTAATTGGTTTTCATATCCCTACCTTTTCAGAGTAAACATGTGTTAGAAACATTACAGCAAACAGTTAAAATTTGATATACTAAATATATATTATTTATAAAATGATAAATATCTTATTACATAATGTAAATCTGTTTTTTTGCAGAAATCTTAAACTGAATCCCTATATGCATAACAGCCAATGTAACAGGTCAACATTTTATTTCAATGCTATCCTAGGATTTGAACCTGATGGACCCCCAGCTTACTGGTCTGAAACTCTATTGATTGAACTAAAGTTCTCCCTAGCGGAGTTTTATGTTACAGGAGTATATAATAGATATGTATGGTGTAACTAGTATTTACCAGTTACATGGGTATATAATAGATATGTATGTTGTAACTAGTATTTACCAGAGTTACATGGGTATATAATAGATATGTCAGTTGTAGCTAGTATTTACCAGTTACATGAGTATATAATAGATATGTATGTTGTACCTAGTATTTACCAGTTACATTAGTATATAATAGATATGTATGTTGTACCTAGTATTTACCAGTTACATGGGTATATAATAGATATGTCACAAGAGTATATAATAGATATGTATGTTGTAACTAGTATTTACCAGTTACATTAGTATATAATAGATATGTATGTTGTAACTAGTATTTACCAGTTACATTAGTATATAATAGATATGTATGTTGTAACTAGTATTTACCAGTTACATGAGTATATAATAGATATGTATGTTGTACCTAGTATTTACCAGAGTCACAAGAGTATATAATAGATATGTATGTTGTAACTAGTATTTACCAGAGTTACAAGAGTATATAATAGATATGTATGTTGTAACTAGTATTTACCAGAGTTACAAGAGTATATAATAGATATGTATGTTGTAACTAGTATTTACCAGTTACATGAGTATATAATAGATATGTATGTTGTAACTAGTATTTACCCATTAGTATATAATAGATAGTTACATTAGTATATAATAGATATGTATGTTGTAACTAGTATTTACCAGTTACATTAGTATATAATAGATATGTATGTTGTAACTAGTATTTACCAGTTACATTACCAGTATATAATAGTATATAATAGATATGTATATAATGTTGTAACTAGTATTTACCAGTTACATTAGTATATAATAGATATATAATAGTATTTACCAGTTACATAGTATATAATAGATATGTATGTTGTAACTAGTATTTACCATTAGTATATAATAGATATGTAGTTACACCAGTTACATTAGTATATAATAGATATGTATGTTGTAACTAGTATTTACCAGTTACATGAGTATATAATAGATATGTATGTTACCAGTTACATGAGTATATAATAG